TGCGAGTTTGGCGATGATCAGCGAAGTTAGCTTCACTGAATTTCGCTTTACAATATAGAGGTTGATCACCACAGTTAATCTGTTTTAATTGTTTAAACAGTCCCACAGAGCACATTTTCAAATAGAACAAAGAGTGGCGAACAAGCTCGTTTTCAGTGATTCACAGTCATCCAATACATCACAATAAATATTACGCTGTTTATATATAAATCAGTATTCAATCATAAAAAACGTAAACAAATGTTTCGGGAAAGGGAAAAATAACCTCATGGGTTATCTGGGGCTAAGTTCATCTTAGGACCGGATATGGAATTCCCAATGATAGCATAATTGTTAGGTCATCCAGTCGTTGGGACCACTCGGAATATGGGGTGTATAGGGGGTGGTCCAGAAGGCACATCCACATTCATCAAAATTCATTCAAAATTGGATAATGACATTTCCAACTGACCTGCTGCTCGCAACAGAAGTATATTGAAGTCTTTAAAATTTTCGATTCAACCAATTGCTTCAAAATGTGATTAAAATCTACGGCTTGGTTCATGTTGTTTAACAATTAGCTACATACCACACGTGATCCCTTGACCGCTTTATATGTAGGTTGCGCGGTAGGCCCATCGCGTCAGCTTCACAGACATATTCGGATCTGAGCTGCTAGCCAGGTTTAAATTCGGGAAATCATTTCATTCCATGTATTCCATATTCGAGGTTATCATTGCTTTTAAACTTCCATTTATACTCACTTGCACGACACCCAGTTTTTTTAAGAACATTCTTAATTGATCAACTGCATACACGTCGCTTATCACAAAATTTTAACGATTATTATTGTTCCACATAGGTTTATCGCGGGATGCTTGATTGTGAATCACAAAGATCCTCGCTGGTAGAGCGTGGCTCCCAACATGCACTTTTCATTATGCTATCCTTTGCAGGTGTGAAAGTCATTTTTCGAACATCGCTAGCCTTATTGGACTTGTTGCTGGGTTCAGCCGGAGCCAGAGCTCAACTGAATAGCATGGACTCCATTTTGGATGCGCTCAGAAGATTGCCTGCGAATGTCACATCAGAAACTACTCTAATCCCCCATGTGAGTGGTTTTATAAGGAACAATTGTTTTTTTTCTAGCTATTGGAACGCCTCAGAACATCGTTCAAACGGTAGTTTTCTGCAATAATAAGAGACAGTTTTGTATCACAGAGCAAGATGATGGAGGCACAGTTGTTTGATCATGTAGAGGAATAAATATGTACAGGATTAAGTTCATGACGTAAATAAAAGCAACAGATACATCCAATTCATTGTAGAATATTAATTAGGTGTTTGAAGAACGGTGTAGATAACTAGTCAACTTACTACTCAAAGGATACGGCTGAGTCACGTCACAAAGGTAGTGCCGAGTCCACTAACATTAGTCTCTATTTGAATATAGAGGGTTTAACCCTTCTCGTGCTATGAGCACACTTCAGTCGATGGTGCACGGTAAATGACAGAGAATGTGCCGTCCAAACAAATTGGAATGGCACACCCAGGTTTCGATGTTCTATGAGCAATCCGAGGTTTACGGTAACAACTTAAAAGTTATACCAAGTCCACTGTGCACAGAGGTAAATGGGGGCAGACCTGCCGCCCCCTTGTTGGCGTGCGACGATCTTCGATTACTTATTAATTACTTCGCACACGCATACACACACGGTTATCCCCTTTGGCTGAACTCGGCTTCGGCCATTTGTTGACATGTTAATTACACCAAACTGAAGTCCTACAGCTAATTGGATATATCTTGTGCCCCAAGCTGTGTCGTGAACTCAATCCGTAGGTACCCATTGCTCTGCTCATTCAATCAAAACTATCTTTTAATTTCACAGAAAGCAACTGAAGCGACGTGAAAGAAATAGCTATGTATAAACCTTTTTTGATGCGACTTCGTTGAAGTTCACAATGTGCAAATAATCGAAGCTAAACATAAACTACTGTATACTTGATAAGATTCTAGTAGGCTACCTAAAATGACCGCGGAGTTTTCTTTCCCGGGATGATAGATACACTACTCCCTGAAGCCCGGATGTCTTTCAGTTAAGCTAGGGTGATTGGTTCTTTGAGAGTATTTTTCTCAGTGCGCTAGTGTAACTGAGCAACTACTAAATTACTGTTAATCTTGAAGCTTTTGACTTCCCCTACCGTATATCTTTTTCAAATTGTGTGCAGCTCTGGTGATTTAATGGAATCTCCTATTTCTTGAGAAGGAAGGTAAAGATCTGCTTTAGAGGAACTGGGTTTGTGATATAGCTTAGTGCTGAGCAAGGGTGCTGGTGGTGCAGTGGTTTAGTCGCCATCACAGGTGTTCTTTGGGCCCTTTGGTCCGAGGTTCGAGCCCCGCCACTGCCACCCAACTTTGGTGATAAGCAGCTTTGCTGTCGTCCGGTTCAATGTAACGCTTTTCTTATCGGGGTCTTATGTGTTTCGCTACTCCACGTACCGGGGCTTAGGTTACGGTTTCCATCACTGAACACCAGGTCTTCGTGACTGTGGGGTTCACCCCGTCTGCTGTCCATCACACGAAAGTGTGTATTAGAAAAAAGCAGTCTGCAGATACTAAACGGTAGAAGTCTGGAACAAAAACCTAATTCGTCACATAAAGAGCAATAAAATTATAATGACAGGTTAACGAAATCAAAATTACTATCCTTTATTCGAGGACAATACTCATCTTGAAATAGTTCTTTGAAGTTCAAACAACCAGCTACTGCGTGAAAGCAAGTTTATGAGGAGGCTTTGGAATATAGTGCGGTAAGTATGCTCAATATCGGGATGATATACCTCTAATACTTATTCATTCAAGTGCAACTTATAAATCAGCAATTAGATGGCTTTATTTAGTGGTTGGTCAGATTAGCATGCATCGTGATGCCTTTTACATAATATATTTATGGAGATAATCTCAAACTCGGCCATCTGCACAAATGGTCTGTCACCCCTATTTGGGAAAGTAATACAGCCTTTTCATGTTGAACCGCCCAAGTAACCTCTCTCGTCTGAGACCTGGAGACACACGATAGACTTAAGTAAACTGCAGCTCGGGAATAGCTGATCGATTGTGAAAGAAGAAAAATCGAATGATAGCGATAAATTCGATAATAATTCACCGAAGTATTGGAGTGAT